ATTATAATCAGATTTATTATTCTCTTAGCTTGAAGTCAGTGAAAAGGAGGAGGGGAGGACAGAGCAACGCTACAAGAGTGGAAAGAACAAGGTGAGTAAATGGCAGATTATGAAGTCAACTGGAAAAAAGTTATTTTTTACCTTTCTGTGTGGAGTTCTCCCCTGCATGTTCTCCCGTTCCTGTGTGGGTTCTCTCTGGGTACTCCAGCTTCCTCCCACAGTCTAAACACATGCAGTTAGTGGGATCGGGTTAACTGGTGATTCCAAATTGCTTACAGGTTTGAAAGTAAGTGTGAATATTTGTCTGTCTCTCTGTATTAGTACTGTGACAGTCAAGCAACCTCTCCAGGGTGTCTCCCACCTCTTCCCCTATGGTAGCAGAGATAGCCCCCCCACAATCCTTGTTAAGGATAAACAGAAGAGGATAGATGGATAAATTTCATTGAAGTTTTGTGTGCTTTCCAGTAGCACATTTTAAAATGCCAGTGGACGTTCTATAGAACATATTCATTGATTGTTCTTTAACTTATTTTGAAAAATTCTGGTCAACATGAATGAGCCATTAGAAAACTAAAGACTCCACCCTAATACTGGTGCACTATATAAAATCCTGTGATTATTCATTCTGAATTATTCTTAGATACTGCAATCTGCCTGTTAAGTCTGACGTCATTATTAGTGATGGGATTTCCGGCTCTTTTGGCTCCCAACCGGCTCTTCAGGTTGTTTTGTTGCTTTAATTAATTTATTATCAACAACAATATAAAATTATGCACAAAATGAATTACTAATGTTAAAAATGTGCTTTTTATTTGTATATGTTTATTATATAAATATGCTTTTATTTATTCACTTCACATAAAATTTAAAAAATAAATTATAAATTTACAAAAACCAACTAATTAAATTTTCAGCTCCTTCCTTTTAAACAAATTTAAAGTGGAACAACACAAAACACTGCAGATCACAACAATAAAATATAAATTAATATGCAAAACAAAAAGAAGATGCACGTTCTCTGTCACATTGCTGGCATCGCATCTGTCAACATGTTTGTGGGTCGATTTGGACCAGGGGTAGGTGCAGCCACTCTTTACTCGATGTGGTCATAGAAGCAGGTGCAGATGTGTCACAAGTTAATCAGGCTGTGGCACTTGATCACAGGTGGCGCTGATTGACTCCATTTGAAACGCTGAAATCGGAGTAATAAAACGTACGAGGGGAACGATAACGAAGACGAGATTCTCCCGATCGTTTACTCTTGCTGTCCTGTGAACAGCATCGGCGTGGTGTTAATTGTTTGCTGTTTTCGCGATCGCGTCGCGCATGAGGATTTCACCAGGTAAACTCGCAACATTTTTAAACATTTTGTTGTTCAACAGCATCAAGACTGACGGAGTGTGTTTGAGGGAACCTCACATATGTCACAGGTGACACATTTTTTTGTTGGTTTGTTGGTGGCAGCTCCTGAAAAGCGAGTCTGCCACACATCTGTTCGACCAGCGCCAGTTGATCTGGAACACCGGGTCCAAACTCCGCTTCAGGCCCCAAAGTCAAACGAACACTGCGGCATCAGTGAGAGTTCAAAACGGTCTAAATTCTTTCATCAGATAAACAGTAAACAATAATAAATAACAGATCATGTCCATATCAGGTCCACCGTGACCCTCTGTCCTCCCTCTACCCCCGGAGCTCTTCGGTGGAGCTCAGAGCGGGAGAGCAGCGGCTCCTCTCCGCCTCCTCCACAGACTGATGGAGGCAGGAAAAGCCACCTTCAGTCATCAGTAAGTGGATCCACAGTAACAACGACTCTGAGTTTAGTTGCTGAACATCAGCTTAACTGCTGCTGCTCTTATCCCGGTGTTGTGCCAATGTTTCTGTGTATTTTTTATGTGTAATATCTTTACGTATGTTCATAAATAGACTTCGGTGAACAGGGATTACAAAGGGGTTACATATAGAAATAAAAAATTATCTGTTTTTCAAGTATCTTTACAACTCTGTGTTATTGTACTTACATTATAACCAATCCGCTCCTTTATCCCCACTTAAAATACTTTTACTGAACTATCGTAATATTTGCTGCCAGTTCTGCTGTCCTCTTGGCCAACTTACTCTTACAAAATACATTTTTAATGTTAATGAGATTTTTTGAACTGCATAAATAAAGGTTATATAAAAGTCGCTGCCAAAAACTGATTGCGGCTTCTACCTTGTTACGAATGTTGTTTGTGGCTCAAGATGACTTTATGTCATCCACGAGGGAAGCATTTGACATATGTTTCACATATTATAGCCCAACAAGTTACTTATAGCAGTTTAAATACGAGCAATCCGTTTTTGGCACAACACCGGATCACACACACTAACAGGAAAGGGCGGACACACTTTGAACACACTCGTTGGTCCAGCTGTGAGTCCGTTACCGTGAACTATGTGTTGTCATATCTGTGCTGGAGCAGTCTGTAATGTTTTCAGCTGCTAACATTACCTTCACACGAAGAGGTTCAGCGTCAGTCACAAACACCAAGTTCAGAAGAAGAGAAAAAGTAAAAGAGAAAGTAAACGTGAAGGACACACCCATAGAGGCGTTTGAGGACAACTTCACAATCAGGAGCAACACAAACGGATCAGTTTGGACTTGAAGCGTCTTTAGAAACATCTGCAAATGTTTTAGAAGCTTTCGACAGACACACGTCACTCTGGGTGTCAGTTTGACTTCGAACTTTAGGTTTTTCAAAGACTGCAAATGTTCAATCTGCTGGCGTTAAACATAGAAGATAATTTCCTCTTGGCCTCTACACAGTAAACAGTTTCCAGGAGTTTGTGAAGATTTATTTATTTTCATCTTATTT